TTCCTTCTTTAGGAAGAGATGCTAATTTTACCAGTCTTCAGTTCCCCGAACTAAACCAAGAATATATATATTTTTAATTCTCCCTGTTAGTTTTTCTTTGACGCAGCAGCTGGGTTTGATCGATAGTTTTATGCTCTTGTCATCAGTTCAGGCACAAGAGAAGCATATGAGAATTTGAGACCACTATCCCCTTTCAGCCCTACTTACTCCTTCTTAAGGGATCAGGTTTGTACCCAGGTCTGTCTGTCAGGTTTGTCTGAGTGAGCTTCATCCACGTCCCTTAAAAAGCAACAATAAATGTGGGTATGCTGGGATGGTGTTCTCCCATCGTGGTGGTCTTAGTGCTGAAGACTGACATAGTTACAGCAATTCCAGTCCTGTCTGTGGCAATCTCAGCTGCTGCTTCTCCTGTGCTTCAGCCAGTTCCTTGATGTTCAGGTTTCTAATGTACTTGGACTTGTTGATTTCACTAAGGAAGTAAGTGTAAACTGTGAAGGGTTTCTGTTTGACTCGGTTGTTCAAATATTATCATTACAGCTACAATGGTTTAATGATTGCTTTCCTGTTCGGGAATTGATGCAACTTTCAGAGTTTTGAGTGTGTTTCATGCAGACCTACCTTTATTCACCCAGCTTTCTAGCTGAGGTCATAACACTTCATTCCTTTCCTTTCATTATTTATAATACTTCTGGTAATGTGGAGTACTGTGAAGTTGTTAAGTGAGACTTGCTGATTATCAGAGGCTTATTGCCGCCCTTTGTTAGATAAGCTCTTGTGTATTTTTTTCAAAAACAGCCTGTTGCTCCATGTGTGTTCTTGAGCTTTTCCAAGAAGCAATCGCTTCCAAGTGCTGAGAAATGGTTTTACAGAGCTGTGCGGTGTGTTGAATTTGACCATATAATATTGCAAGAGTTGTAGGATGCCCTTTTTACCTCCGTTATCTATTTTTGTATGCTGAAACTATACTTTTAGATAACCAACAATAAAAATATTATTGGTGCAGGGCTGTCTGATCTTTTAAGACTTTCTCTGTACAACTTAGCAATGATACCTTTCAGTTCAAATAAATACGTCCTTTGACTATTTAAGCAGTTTCGTTGTGATTCTCATATGCTTTAGTCATCCTTGGCTAGTACAAATATTAATAAGGAGTACTTGATTTACAGAAGAGCTTTATCTGTACTTCTCAGTGTAAACTGAACTCCTTCGAAACATCTGCAGTCAGCAGCAGTAGATTTTGAAGTTGGTTTTCAAGCCAAGAGAAGTTTCAGATTTTATGGTGTATTCCTACAGCTTTGCCTGCTATGTTACTAGCTACCTGTGATCAAATCCTGACACTCTCTCATCTCTTGTAACAGCTGATGTTTCTGGTGCTTCAGCAAGAATGTTGGTGATTCGTTTGTCAGTAGTGATCAAGCTTTTCTTCCAGCTGGAGGCATCTGTTTGTCCTGAGAAATGCGACTGCTCTTTCAAAAATGCGATTCATTGCTCTGGTCCTCACATAAAAGACCTGGAATCATTAAATCTTCCTTGCAATATGACAAAAATTCACATAACAGACACTAACGTAACGTACGTGCGGGATGTTTTCGCTGGGATGGGAGAACTGCAGCATCTCATCTTGTCTTCAAACAGCATCGCTCTGATTTCACCACTGGCATTTAAAGGCTTGAGAAGGCTGAAAGCCCTCAATCTGCTAGATAACAGTCTGGTTGAACTTCCTCCAGAAGTGTTCAATGACACAGTACAACTTCAGCAACTGATCATTGAAAATAACAGGCTGAAATCCATCCAAGAGAATCTGTTTGACAGACTAAGCAGTTTGGAGGAGCTTTTCTTGAACAAAAACCAACTCAGAACACTTCCCAGTGGTGTGCTGAAGAAACTTGCCAAACTCAAAGTACTGAATTTGTCAAGAAATTCTTTGGCAGTTCTGCCTAGAAATATATTTAGTGCATTAACTAAGCTTGAGAAGCTGATGCTGTACTTTAACAGGCTCTCTTCAATAGAGTCTGGTATATTTGATAGCCTGAGGGAGCTGCTGGAACTCTTTCTGCATTCCAATGACATTCAGTCTATTGCCCCTGATGTATTTCATCACCTTCATAAACTTAGAAGCCTAACGCTCTCCAGAAACAAGCTTGAGATTTTGCCCCCTGGGCTCTTTCTGCACTTGCGTGATCTGTCTAAACTGACCTTATATGGGAACCCACTGAAGTCTCTTCCAGAAGTGTTGTTTGGAGAAATGAGGAATCTTGGTAGCCTGTGGCTGTATCACACAAAGCTCTCAACGATACCAGATTTTGTATTCAGTAACTTGACAAATTTGGAGCTTCTTGTGCTGAGTTTTAATCCGGAGCTTAGTGTTCTTCCTGAGAATGTGTTCAGCGGTCTGAGAGAACTGCGCGGCCTTTCTCTGCATACAAATAATATTTCCAGTCTGCCAGAGGGCATCTTCCACAGCCTTCAGAAACTGCAGAACGTTTCCCTTTTCAGTTCCAGGCTTCAGGTTCTCCCAAGAAGCCTCTTCCATAATCTCAAGCACCTCCAGAAAGTTTACCTCAATAGTACTAAGCTGCAGTCTCTTCCTGAAGATCTGTTTACCACTTTACCTGAGCTGCAAGAAGTCTACCTTGATGACAACCCTTGGAAATGTGATTGCCAAATTCTTGGCTTCCGAGAGTGGCTCCAGAGGAGCACAGAGGTCGTAAAAGAAGCACAGTCTCTAATGTGTGACAGCCCACTCTCATTAAGGAACATTTCTCTTCTGGCTCTAACAGATCACCATCTGAAGTGCCTGCCAACCACAGCTATTACATACCAGATGTTCAAGTCAGCTTATTCCCAGACTTCGACTTCTCTTATGATGGAGCACTTGAAATCATCTTGGGAGACAACTGTACCAGCATCTGACATAGATACCAGCTCACCCTCATCGGTTCCAGTTGTAAGAGCAGCTCCAGGTTTTACCTATTCCCACATTGAAGATGTTGAAGGCTCTGGCTCTCATTTCTTAGATGTTCCAACCCAAACTTCTCCCAACATCATAGAAACCAACAGCGTCGGAGGAACGGTTCTGACTACTCTTGCCCAGTGGGACGAATTACCTGCTTACAGGAGTACCCAGCCCTATTTTAATACCAGAATTGTTTGTTGTCAGCTATTCTTGTGCCTTCACAGTTTGATTTTAGCACTCCAGACTGTCATCATTCTGCTCAGTCTGTATGTGGTGGTTAAAACCAGGCAACTCTTGCACTACAGACATGTTCCTGCTCAGCCTGTAGTTCTCATAAAATTTGTAAAGAAAGGATTAGAAACGTTGCAATGAAAGCATTTTGGACAGTTGGCTTGGTTCTCCACAGCCAGGACCATGAACACTTTGTCTCTACAGTATAACAAAAATGTGCTTTTATCTACCTTAACATTTGCCAAAAGTGACTGCAGTCACTGCACACTGCGATGGCACTTGGTGTGCAAAACACAGATGGGAAGCTGAAAGAAAGTCCACGTCCACCTCCACACACAGCTCTGCACTTCAGTCAGTGTGCTGCCGCCTTCCTGCATTGCACTGCTGCCCTGCCCTGGCTGCCGTGCTCACACCATGGCCGTAGATGTGGCCCCTCCATGTGATGGCTTGTGAGAGGGAGCTCTCCGTGGGTGAGGAAAACATGCAAACAGCACAGGGAGGTTTACACGGGAGCACAGCTTTAACTGTTGTTTAAAGGTTGCCTGGAGTACTGCAAATATTATTATGCCTCACATTGCCTGCAGTGTTTTGTGTCCTTATTGAGAAAACAAACAGTATTCTTGGGAGGACATGCTGGAAAATAGCTTTTAAAAAGAGCAGGAGAGGGAGGGGGGAGTGGAAGTGATGGGAGGGAAATGGTATGATGCAAGTGTCTTTGTTTTTGCCTTCTATTCTCAGCCCCGGTGCAGGATGTGTGAGGAAGAAGGTAATGTCAACCATACAAAGCTGATAGAGTCTTCCTCTATCTTAGAGGAGAGATAGATGCTGGTCTAAATGTACACTTGTGATGAATTCTATTGTTTGTTTCTAAAACTTTGTCACATTCCTGAAGATTCAGCTTTGTAGTAAATGCTTTCATCCCTAAATTTTGTCAGTGATGTGAAAAGCATGGGACAACTTGCCCTGTGTTGCAGTGTGGCTTGAAAGTGGTGTGCCGTGCAGATACCCAGGGCTCTGCAGCATTGTGGCTGAGTGTCAGCAGGTGCCACCGCCTGTTTGGAAGCTGACCAGGCAGCTGCTGGCCTTGTCCCCAGTTTCAGCATGGAACTGAGCTGTGCTTCATTGGAGTTATCAGCGTGCAGGTGTGAGAAAGGCAGATTCAGTGTTAGTATATTGTGCTCATTACCTAGGCTTGCTCCCCAACTTCTCTGATATGCACAGGCAGACTCTAGGTAATAGCGAGACTTTTGGTCTTAGTACTTACAAATATTTGGAGTGAGATGAATATCCTGGTTTGCACGTAGACTCATTTGGGGTGGATACTCCTTTGGTAGCTCTCACTTTTTAGTTTTATCTTAACCACGTGACTCGTTCTTGAAAGCTCTCCCCTTTTGCTCAGAAGCTGGGACTGGATTAATGAGCCTCTGCATGTGGCTTCCTGGGCGTGAGACCCAGTGCCCTCAGAGTCCTTTTGGAGCCTGGTTTTTTGAAGCAGGGATATTCCTGAGCAGCCTGAAGAAGGTGCTCAACAGGCCTGAGGTTAAGAGCATTGGCATTTGCAGCAAGTTTGTAGCTTTGTTGTATGCAGCTCTAGGCAATGAGAATGAACTGCTGCTGGTGTGGAATGCCTCTTGTAGGCTGTGAAAGAAGGCAGTGGGCCTCTGTAGCGTTAAATAACCACCATCTTGCTTGTGAGGTCTACTAAACTTTAGTGAGCCAGGCAGTAGCTAGAGCCATCTCTAAAGGAGGAGCAGTGTGTGGGGCAAGCTGGATGGGATTCATGAACAGAAGCACCAGTTTATTGCAGCGTAGCTAAATGAGAAGCACAGAAACAACATGAGTGCTTTACAAGTGGTGGCTCTGGGTTATTGTTAGCGCTTGCAAGGAGGCACTTAGCACAGATTTAGTTCTTGTTGGACAATTGTACTGACCACTCAGTGCCTGCCAGCCACAGGGCTGTCAAGCAAGTGCCACGCACACATCTGTGTACAGCAGGCAGGGGTGAGTAGGTGAGTGAGGACACTGTATGGCTGCACTGGTCCTTGCCTCCCTTGGTGTGGCTCTGAGGAAAGGGGCTCACGCTTGAATGCACACTGATTCCTAAGAAAGCAACAGTTTAGTTGGCATACAGCATTAGTATTGACTTCCAGCTGGCTCTCTGCATGTCCGATCTGCTGCGCGGGCCGGGTGCAGAGCAGCAGGTAAATAGCAGCTGCTATCTATTGAACCTTCCATTGGCTGTCCCAGCCCAAAACCAGGCCAGCTCTGCCTTGGCATGTCTCCCGTGGCTCACTAGCTGCAATTGCTGCACTCTGGCACGTGGGGGCTTTGGCACATTGCTGCATACAGCGAGGCACAAGGAGGACGGTGATCTGTCTCTGCATGCTGTCATCGGGCTTTCCCCACTCCTGAGCCAGACTGGGGAAGTGAAGTCAGCAGACAACAAAGGGCTGGAGCAATGGGGTGTTTCATAGAGTCTTCCTTTCTTCCCTCTGATGGAGATGTCATGTTTTGTTCTGCCTCTGATTCATTGCTTGTTGCCCAGCATAGCTCAGTCCTTTCTGGAAATCTCCAGCCTGGAAAAGTCAGAGGAAATCCTTACTTAGATCCCACCTCTGTTCACCCTGGGGAAGGGGTTCTCCAGGTCAGCATCACACAGATGCAGCAGGTGGCAGGCAGCAACAAGGGCTACTTGGGAAAAACACGACAAGCCTTCCCAGCAGCGAGGGCTCCTCAGGAAAAGCACATGGCAAGGTTTTCCCCAGCCCTGCTGCTTTTTCCTCACGTCCCATCTAAACCTCCCCTGGGAGATGGTGGGGTGGCTGATCACGTCCTGGACTGTGGGTAGGTGCAAGCCACGTCTGCCTGCATTCTGCTTTTTCCTCCTGCTGGGTCCCTGCCTGCACTTTGCAAGCCACCAACCCTGTGTGCTGCGCCTGTGTCCCTTAGTGTCCTCTGCTCTTCTCACCTCACCTCTGAGATAGCAGCTGTTTGAGGACCTTTGTTACCACCTGCAGTGGTGACTGACTGAGTCTCACTGTATGCAGCTTGTTTGGAAGCTTGATGCATTACCATCATCACTGCTAACTTGGAGCACAGTTGTAACTCTCATCCCAGCCCTCTGGCACCCTCAGGAGCTGCATCTCACATCCTGCTCCTCCCTGTCCCAGGGGCAAGGAGCAACTGGGTGGCAGCAAACGTGCTGTGAGGCTTTGACCACAGGACCTCCAGCAGAGAGCTCTGGTGTGGGAGCTGGCTGAGAGGCAGAAGCGTGGGATCCTCTTGATGATGTTATGGGGAGTTGCCCGAGTTTCTCCTCACCCGGGGCAGCTGATTCAGCAGCTGTGCTATCAGCATGCAGCATTTCCTAGGGATTTCAGAACTGTCTCAATTTTCTCAATCAAAACCTGAATTTGCATCCCTTGCTGGGTGTTCCTGAGCAGATGAGCCTTCACACAGCCTCACTGTGGGATGCACTGCCACAGCCCTGCTTTGCTGCAGAGAAGGGTCATCTCAGCTGCACCTGGGGATGCTGGCACCAGGTTGGGCCCCCCTTGAGCAATTGCTGCTGCAGGATCCTTGTGTTTTGTGCCTTTGTTTCTCTCAGAAGATAAGAGCCTGGAGCCAGGGAGTAGATCCACAGCCTTCTTCCCAGGTTGGGTTGGGGAAGGGGCTGGTGCAGAATGAGCTTTCCCCTCAGCCCTGCTCCAGCCTGTCCTGCCCCAGCTTGCAGCGCCCGCACCCCACTCGTACAAGTTCTTTCCGCTTTGGTTGTTGCTGCTCACAGAGGATTTGGCTGCAGTCCCTGCATTCCTTCCAGGCTAGCACTGCCCTGGGCCCAGGCCAAGCCCTGCTGCTATCATTCAGAGCAGCCGGGAGCAGTGCTGTGCACCTCTACCAGCTCAGCCAGCCCCACTGGAGTTTGTATGCAGAAATGTTGGCTTTGAGTCCTGCTCAGGGGGCAGCCCTTCTGTGTACTGTCCTGGAGGGATCTGTTTCCTGGCTATACCCTCACTGCAGTGCCCATGACTTCTCTGGAGGCAGGACCCCAACCCCTGGGGAAGATGCAGATAAGCTGTCCGTAGCTGTGAGCAGCCCTGCCCCTCCAAGCTCAAGCTGAACTGGTTGTGGGGCCTGAGTGCCTGGCCCTGGGTAGGAGCTCTCACAAAGGGCAGGTGGGGGTTAGGGAGAGGGCTGCAGGTGCCTCTCAAATGGGAGGCCACTCCTTGCCACACTCCAGCCTACATATCCTGCCGCTCAGCCCTCAGTATCGGAATGACTTGGGTTGGAAAGGACCTTCAAGCCCACCCAGCCCCAACCACCGCCATGGGCTGCTTGTCTCACCCACCCTGGCCTCAGGCAGCTCCAGGGATGGAGCACCAACAGCCTCACCAACCTCTGAGTAATGAATTTCTTCCTAATATTTAATCTAAATCTCCCCTCTTTTAGTTAAAAAAAAAAACACTAAAACACTCCCTCTTGTCCAGTCACTTTCAAAAGTGTAATAAGTTGATTCCTTTCCTGCTTACAAGCTCCTCTCAGGTATTAGAAGGCTGTAGTGAGATCTCCCTGTAGCCTTCTCTTCCCCAGGCTGAACCTTCCCAGCTCCCTCCTCCTCCCTGCATAGAGGAAGATGCTCCAGCCCTTTGGTCATTTTCACAGCCCTCCTCTGGCTCCCTCTGGATGGCATTCCTCCCTTCTTCTATGTCAGCTGCACCACTCAGCTTGGTATCATCAACAAACTGGCTAAGGGTGCACTCAGTTCCCCAGTCCAGGTCTTTGAAGAGCACCAGACCCAAGACAGATCCAGGGGAAGATATTTTCTCTTTTTTTAGACATTTAAAAAAACTAATTCTTTTAGATACCAATTATTTTTCAATGATACTGTGCAAAAGACACAGGCAGGAGAGAGATGACGGTTGCAACATATGTTCTTTCTCCAGTATCATCTGCAAGACATCATCCACCTGATTCAACTCCAAGAGGATATGCTGGAGTTCCAGGTTGGGGATGATGAGTGAGATAAGCTGGCTCACATTCATGCACAGGTTTTTGATTTTCTCTGTAATGCTATTTGTATCTCCTTTTGGGCCCCTGCCAGAATCCTATGCCTCCCAGAGCAACTCTGAGTCTCTGTATCCTGGAGTCCATCTATAATGCTATAATGGGATGGAAAGTACCACAGTAAGAGCAGAGCAGGAAAGTCTTCGGCTACAGCAAATGAGAACATGCCCAAACACAGCAGACACAGAACCAAAGGAAAAGAGCTGCTTACCTCTGGAAAGCAACAGGTAGGCAGGAATTCCAAGTAAGAGATACTCTCACCTCCGCTGCCAACCCTTAAATGAGGTCTGGGAAGGGGTGCATCCTGGCTCCTCCCCTTCCACCACTTAGGTACATTGCATGCACCTGAGCTCCCTGGGTTGGCCCTGCCTTCCCACCAGGTGCTCAATCAGTGCTTCAAGCCATGACTCCGCATTTCCACTACACCATCAGTTTAGCTTTCTCCTCTGTGGACTTTCACAGCTTTACTTTCAGCTCCTGCAGCTTAACTTGGCAGTAACCTGTGTGTTTTTTGTGCCAGCACCTCCTGTTCTTGATGGCTTTTCAAAAACTCTGTTTTCAGGCAACAGCTCTAATGCCCAATTTCTTCCACCTTGCACCCAAAAAAATCTCAGTCTGCAGAAATATTCTTCATCCCCACTGCTCTTCTCCTGCTCCTTTATATCAACCTGCTCCTGTGCGTTGAGGACCTGCAGTTCTCTGCCTCAAGAGAACATCCCTCCTGGCATGATGCACAGTTAGCAGGGCTGCTGTCTGAATAGGACAAGAGGAAATGGTTTCAAACTAAAGGAGGGGAGGTTTAGACTAGATGTAAGGAAGAAGCTGTTCACACTAAGGGTGGTGAGGCACTGGCACAGGTTGCCCAAAAAGGCGGTGGGTGCCCCAACCATGGAGACACCCAAGGTCAGGCTGGACGGGGCTCTGAGCACCTGATGGAGCTGTAAGAGTCCCTGTTCAGTGCAGGGGGCTGAACCAGATGGCACTTAAGAATCCTTTCTAACTCAAATAGTTCTATGATTCTATGATCTCTGCTTCTCTCCACCCTGCTCACCCTTCCTTCACACAGCTGGGTTTGGCCCCACTCCAAGCCCCTGTGAGAAATGGGTGCTTCTCAGAGCAGGGAGGGCAGTTTGCAGGAGTCAAAAATACCTGGGGTTGTCCCAGACCTGCACTGTAGAGAGCAGGGAGTGTGAGGGTGTCCACTCCCTCCACCAAATGCACCTCAGAGAAGGAGGTTCCTATGAGTTCTGCTTGTCAGAAGCACATCCCTGCATCCCTCTGCAGCCCAGGGGGACCCCAGGACTGGGGGGGCAAAGTGGTGGGGCTGCCAGTGCTGTGTGGGTGAGCGCGGTGCACTCAGCTGGTAGGGAGATGAGTAATGCTCTCCTCCAGCCAAGCCCACAAGCTGCTAAGTTTAGCAGTGATTTGTGTTTTTCCAAGCTGTCTCGAGTCCCTTGGTGATTCAGAGCCGCCCAGCTTTGCTACCCCAGCTGTGTGAATGTGTTGGGATGGGGCCAGCACGGATGCAGCCGGGACTGTCCCAGTTCTGGACCGTGAGGCAAAACATGGTGACACCACATCACTGGGACTTGGGGGTGCCAGGGTGCGAGTGCCCCTTCCCTTCCTGTCTCTGCTCCTCTCCCTTGCCTGTAGTCAGGGAGTGCACAGTGACGCCAGCCCCTGCCCATGCTGTCCCTGCAGGAATGCCCTAGGGCTGGTCCCTGTGCACCATGCCCTGCAGCACCCTTCCTGCCAAAACGGTTTGGGGGGTGCAGTCACATTCTGCCCCAGTCCCATGTGCTGCATCTGCCCCTGCTGGGACCACGCTGCTTGGAAGATGCTGAGTGTGACATTCCTCTGTCGGCCCGGGTCAGGAGTGGTGCTTTTCCAGCCACACCGGGTTTTGATTTCTATGTGCCTCACTGAAAGCCGTGTGCCTGGAGGGTGACTCAGAGTGGGCAGCAGCCCAGCAGTGCTGGCAGTGGGCAGCCAGATCTGGCAGACAAGGGGTGATAAGGGCTGGCCAGTCCCACTCAGTACCAGGGTGCAGGGCAGTTCCCAGCCGCTGCCTGACCTCCCAGTGCATCACTCATGGAAGCAGGGAGTCTATTTTGGGAATGGCATCATTGGGAAAAACTGCTGCATCAACAGCATGTGAAGTAAAGCAGTTGTGGACAGTGTTTTCAAAATGCCTGTTTTCCATCCCAGCTTTTCTCCTGGGCATGGGCAGCCAAGCAGCAGAGGATGCTGTGAGGGTAGATTGTGGCTGGGTGTTCCCTGGCATGGAGGGGACCCGCACTCCCCAAAACGTCCCACAGCAGCCAGACCCCAAGCTCATCCCCCTGGGAACACCCTCTGGATGTGATGTGGCAGTAGCTGCTGGAAAGGTCTCGCTCCCACGCTCTTCTCATGGTCCAAGTCAAGCTGCAAACTGCCCTCTCCATCTTTGCAGCCTGCAGGGTCCCCTTCCCCTGCGTGCCACCAGCCCTGCCAGCGTGGCACGCTGCACAGAGTGGCAGAGAACAAGTGATGCTGCACCCAGCACCCGTGCTGTGCTAAGGAGTGTGTTCAGAGGCAACACTGTGCTGTTCCCATCTCAGGCAGCTCATTAGGGTGTCTGGGACCTGAGCTGCTGCGGAAATGTGGGTGGGCTGAGACGGGACTAGAGGCAGCTGGGAAGTCCCGCTGCCCCGTGGTTAGCACAGGGCTGCTGCTGGCTCAGAACAAGGCTCCATATGTGTTGGTTTTCCCATGGTCGTATCTCCTAAACCTCTGCTTGTGGCTGCTGCTGGACCAGGCTGCCTGGGAGAGGTGGGCATGGGGCAACCAGGCTGGTGGTGGGGCCAAAGGAAGAGTAGGGCTGGTGCTCCAAGGAGTCACGATCCCTGGCTGTGTGCTGGGGGCTGCAGGGCTGAGCCGCACGCAGCATGCTGGCTGACGTGCACAGCGTGTTCTCAGGGCTGACTGCTTGTCTTCAATCGAGAGGGTTCACAAGCAAGAAACTCCAGCCACTCCATCTCCCAGTCAATCACGCTGTTTGCTGAGGAAGTGCGAGCTGGAAGCCGCTCTGCTGCAGTGATTTCCGTAACCCCGCCGCTGCCCCTGTGCTGATTCATTGATTTGGACGGGTTATATACTGGGAGGGGAAGCGTGAACCGCACTCGGCACTCCTGCCAGCACGGAGCTGTGCTCGCTCAGCGCTCACTGCTGCAGGACATGGGTAAGTCTCCCTTCTGCTGTAATCTCTCCATCCCCAACTCGGTCCTCAGGCCCCCGGGAGCCCCCAGAACATCACCGCGGGGTGGGAGCATGGCTGGCTGGTGTGCACACTGAGCACCTTTTGGTGAGTTGGAGGTATTTATCCTACAAGGGTTCAACAAACTGAGTTAGGGGGGCAAAGTTTCTTAAATGATAACCCATAAAGAATGTGAAAGGAGGGGCAGAAATTTAGGGGGGCTGAGGGGTTGGGTGTTCAACCCCTTGGTCTGCAAGCTTTTGTCCCTTAAAAGAGAAAGGGAGGTAAATTGCTTTCAGCTGTCTTTCCTGAACTGCCCTCCAGTTGGATGCTCCACGAGCTCACTTACAGGGAGTGACATGAGCTGTGCTTTTGATGTGCAAAGCATTTGGTGGAGTTTATAAGCTGCCTGCTATAAACAAAACTGTTCTGGGATGCAGATTGTTTCCATATGTGAGCCATAAGCCGTGCTGGTTGCAGAGGGCTCCTCCCTCCCCTCCAGCAACAGGCGCTTCCCTGCACTCTGTGAGCTCCCAGCCGTGCCCGGCTGAGCCCTGCTTTGTGCCTGGGAAGCGCAGGTTTCCTCCTGCCATGTGCCACTGGGAGCTGCCAGCCAGGCACAGACTGCTGCTGTATCCATGGGTGGGCTTCCAGAGCAGGATGGAGGGGAGAAAGTCCTTGGTGTGTGCAGATAGATGATGGCATAGCAAAGCACTTTTCCTCCAGTAGCTCCTGTGGCAGCCCTGGGCTCTTCTGGTGCTGGTGACTGCTGGTTTGGGGCTCTCCACCTTTTGGGGATGCTGGCAGGCTAGCAGCACCAGGACCAGCTCACCAAGCTCACTGCAAAACAGGAAACCACGCTCCCAGCTGCTGGAGGAGCGGGGCACGCCAGGGATGCCACTAATAGCTGTGGTGTGACAGCGAGACGCCGCAGCCGGCTCTGCCCTGCCTGGCCCAGAACTCCTGGGGAGGAGTGTGTCCAGCCCTGGGAAGGCAGCACCCATCCCGAGGTCGGCGGTGAGCCTCCTACTTTCTTTTCTCTGCAGGCCCCATGGAGCAGGGAGGTTGGTGGCTGCTGCTGCTGCTGCTGGGCTTCCACCCGGTCCGCGGGCAGTGCCCGGAGCAGTGCCAGTGCGTCCGCACTGCCCAGGTGGAGTGCTCGGGCGCCGGCATCACCGCTGTCCCCAGCCCCATCCCCGCCAATGCGGTGACCCTGCAGATCGTCAACACGCGCATCACCGAGCTGGGCGAGGCATCCTTCGGCAACGCCTCCCTGCTCATCGGGCTGCGCATCGAGAAGAACGACCTGCGGCACGTCAGCCCCGACGCCTTCCAGCACCTGCCCGACCTGCGCTACCTCAGCCTGGCCAGCAACAAGCTGCAGGAGCTCCCGGTGCAGGTCTTTCAGCCCCTGGGCAAGCTGGAGTCGCTGCTCCTCTCCAGCAACCAGCTGCTCCGCGTGGAGCCCGACCACTTCGCTCACCTGAGCAACCTGAAGGAGCTGCAGCTGCACGGGAACAATCTCCGGGAGCTGACGGAGGGGCTGTTCGACCAGCTCGCCAGCCTCACCAAGCTCAACCTGGCCCGCAACAACCTCGACCGCCTGCCGCCCCGCGCCTTTGAGCGGCTGCCCCAGCTGCAGGTGCTGCGGCTCTATGAGAACCGGCTGCGGCACATCCCAGCAGGCGCCTTTGATGCACTGCCCGAGCTGCAGGAGCTGGGCCTGCACCAGAACCAGCTGGAGATGCTGTCCCCGGAGCTCTTCGTGCACAACGGGAACCTGCAGAAGCTCTACCTCTCCAACAACCTCCTCACTGCCCTGCCCGCCGGCATCTTCCTGCCGCTGCGTGCCCTCTCCAAGATCACCCTGCACGTCAACCGCCTGCACGACATCTCCCCGGCCGCCTTCGGCCCCATGCCCAACCTGCGGGAGCTGTGGCTCTATGAGAACGAGCTGGCCGCTCTCCCCGCCGCCGTCTTCAGCAATCTCACCCAGCTGCAACTCCT